GGGAAATTTTATTATCTGAGAATTATTTTGTGCATTAAATTGAATGAACATGGTCTGGATAGCCCACAGACATACCATAAGAATTTCTAGGACCTATAATTGGTCTCCTTTAAATTGCCAACATGTCGTGTTTCTTCAAATTTTCACAATCCAGTTCATCAAACAACAAACTTAACTGTTTGACAGAGAAAATTTGGCAATGTTTTCAAGTGAACAACCACATACTCAGCACTATTGCTCATGGCTCTAATCTCGTTATGCACGCATGTAATGACAATAAAACCATTCAATTCTATTCCACAAATGCATGTTCCTTACAAATGTAGCACCATTTCAAAAGGGAAATTAGCAGACTTCCCAACAGTATAATATTTATTACCAAGAAGAAGCATTGTGACAACACAGAAATAATCTACCAAACACATTTACTGACTTTTTGTGCCAAGTTTACTTTTCTCTGCATTCAAACTGTGAAACAAAAACCATAAAGTTGATCACAAGTGTCTCGTGCACAGGGCACCATAGCTGGATTTCCAGTGATTTTTTTCCTACTTGGAAATTTCTACCTCTTTGTACAAGTGGAACAAACATAAATAACAGCCGTTTTAAAAGCAAGAGTTCAAACAAAGACTGTCGTCTCATCCTACATTAGCGCTTGGCTCTGAACCTCTCTGCTGGTCTCAAGTCTGGATGAGAACACTTCAAGTTAACAAAAGCCAGGCGCAGACGACAGTGACTCGACAGTTCGGATGTTAGGCAAGCTGCAGCAGAACCGCAGCAGCAGTTTATCTCTGCAAACCAGCATGACGTGGTGACCCATCTCATGAGAATCAGACGTGTTTGTGGTCACAATCTTCAGCTTCTCAGGACTTCCCCCTTCACACGACTGTTGTCTCTGATGTTTCTAGGTTCAGCCCGTCTCCGAGTTTTATTCTCTCTTATATTCAAGAAAAATGCAGGTCATTATGTAATCTAACCATGAGAGGGTGGTATTCTTTATATTAACTTCCTTGTTTTTTTCATTCTGTGAGTGTTGATGAGAACCAGAATAACCTGATTTCCTCCCGAATGACTGTTACCTCTGCAGAGCATCTTATTGTTAAAACCCTGAAGGAAGAAATGGGACGAACCTCACCTCTAAACTCCTTGGACAGGGTCCAAAACCGTTTAAATCATTTGCAAACACTGTCAACATTCTTCGCTAATATGAGCCGATTATTTTCACCGGAGTTCCTTCTCTGTCTGGAGATAAAATCCTCTTCAACATGCCTCCATCTAATGAGGGATTCCTGCAGTTTGACTGAGTAGGAAATGTCTGCATAAATAAAGGAAGCTTTTACTTTGGAGTTATGTAGTTTTTTTTTCCTTTCACAAGTTTGTTTTGGAATTTAGAGAGGAAAAACAAAACAAAGAGAAGTACAATTAGTTCCCTGTTCTCTCAGTACCTTTGTTGTATTTAACTCAAACTATAAAGTTCCTCAAATTCAACCATCAGCAAAGAGACTTCCTTAAAAAGTCAAACGTCTTCCGTTACAATGTTCAGGTCAGCGCAAATCATTCAAACAATCGATTATTCCGCTGTTACTGGGAGATAAATACTCTGCAGTTCCAGAAGAAACAGTTAATTCGGTGCAGGAACAAAGCAGTGAGGCACGGTGGTGGCAGCATCATACTGTGGGGTTGCAGCTGGGGTTTTTTCAAGATGGATGAATGATGAAAAGTTCCTAGCCAGAGTTTGGACCTCTATCTGATGTATGTGACCTTGACTAATTTTAGTTTCGTTCACACTGCAGGTCTACACGTTCAATTGCAATTTTTTTTGTGACCTGCAAGCGTCACATTCAGTTCACGGTTTCCAGATATAAATCAATGTGGTGTACAGGCGAAAGCAGGAATAGTCATTCCTGGTCCTCGAGGGCCGCAGTCCTGCATGTTTTACTTTTTCCCCTTCTCTAACACACCTGATTCAGTCAGTCCTCTTCCAAGTTCCGCAGAAGCCTGAAAATCATCCATTCATTAAAATCAGGTGTGTTGGAGCAGAGCACGTCAAATCTGAAGTTGTGGTTGAATCAGAGCTGATTTAATAATTATCTGACATGCTTGTTCAGTAGGGCTGATTTTATCAATCTTGGATCGATTTCATTTACATTTGGGAAAATCGATTCACAGGACATGAGATTGATTCTTCTCCATGGCATCCTGTGCGTGCTTCTGAAGCGCGTTTATATTTTGTCACTCCTGGCTTGCCGTATGTTTACATCCGGTTGACGTTCAGTGCTAACATTAGCTTTCGATAACAAGTTGTCTGGATCAAAACAAAAGAAACCAAGAAATCACTAATGTTACCAGCTCTCCACAGAACTTAAAGACAGCAGAGACCATGGAGACTTTTGTTTGCAAAGATTTGCGCTCCTACATGGAGGAAGCGAAGCGGGGTTTGACGAGCGGCTCGTTCAGGCGCTTGAACCAAACTACTGTATGTAAACATCTGACTGAAACTGTTCTCTCATGTTTAAATGTCTTAAAGATGACATTCTAACAAAATTGTTTAGTTTTGTTACCAATATTATTATTTTTAAACTTTAAGAAACGTCTTAATGAAATCCACAGTGATGAAAT